CCCTTATTTACTGGAGCACCTTACCTTTTACTCCTGCCTGTTACTCTAACTTTCGTAACAGCCTTTTATGGAGTACTGTGTCAAAAGCTTTCTGATAGTCCAAGAAAATGCAGTCTGCCCACCTTTCTCTTTCTTGCCTAATTGTTGCTGCTTGGTCATAGAATTCTATTAAACTTGAGATCTTGTGAGATTAACCTTGTGAGGCATGATTTATCATCTCTGAACCCATGCTGGTGGTGTGTTAAAAAGCTATTTCCCTCCAGATGCTCTACGAGCCTTTTCCTCACGATCTTCTCCATCACCTTGCATGGTATACAAGTTAGGGAAACTGGCCTGTAGTTCAGTGCCTCTCGCCTGTCACCCTTTTTATATATTGGGACCACATTAGCTGTCTTTCAACTTTCCGGTAGGTCTCCTGTTACCAGTGACCTGTTATACACCATAGAGAGTGGCACGCTTAGTCCTTCTGCACCTTCTTTTAGTATCCATGGTGAGATTCTGTCAGGCCCAACAGCCTTTGTCACATTCAGCTCCAACAGATTCCTTTTGACCTCATCACTGGTGAGGTCAAAATCCTCCAAGGTTGCTTGGTTTGCTTCCTCCTCATTTAGCGCAGGGGCTTCGCCTTGTTCTTTTGTGAAGACCTCCTGGAATATCTTGTTGAGTTTTTCACACACCTCCTTGTCGTTCTCTATCTATTCTCCCCTTTTCAATGACAGAAAATTAATGGCAGAAGCTGCATTAGCACCTGAATTAACAAACGCAGCAGAATTAGCTTTATCATCAGGCGCAGCATTAGCATTAAAACTAGCACGAGAAGCTTGAACAGCATCGGCTGTGACTTTAGTTCGCTTACCCTTCTCGGCTATGCTGTTCGTCCTTGACGTGACCATGACGGAAAGCCATCTAACGTTGTGTTGATGTCTGCCATCACGCCCACGGCAGAGACGCATGCATCACGCCCACGGCAGAGACGCATGCGTCACGCCCACGGCAGAGACGCATGCATCACGCCCACGGCAGAGACGCATGCATCACGCCCACGGCAGAGACGCATGCATCACGCCCACGGCAGAGACGCATGCATCACGCCCACGGCAGAGACGCAGGCATCACGCCCACGGCAGAGACGCAGGCGTCACGCCCACGGCAGAGACGCAGGCGTCACGCCCACGGCAGAGACGCACGCGTCACGCCCACGGCAGAGACGCAGGCGTCACGCCCATGATTAATTTTATTCATGTAACACATACGAGTTTGAGTGACATTATTCAGAGAGTTCAGTACATGACCATTACTACAGATTTCAAATTTAAAAATCAAATTCAAATGTTTATTCAGGTAAAAGTACATACATAGAAGATGGGTTACAAACATAACGTTGGATTTATAGATAGAGCTAGTACATGCAATACCTAAAGCCACTAATACTCTTAGCGTTTCGGGCAAGGTGTGGACAAAATCACTAATACGAAACTTAATACTAATTGAGATTAAAGTATAAATTATGTTGAAAAAGGGGGGGATGACATGGCAGTATATCTTCTAACTACAGAGCCCGTTCTCACGATTTGACGAACGACAATTTTCAAAGTGTTTGTTCCAAAAACGGAAGCGTACGCAACTAGGAACTAACCCAAACTACCGAGGCTGATTTCCATTAGTCCGAGGTGGCGTCAGTATTACGGTGCTTTTAATGGCAACAAAGCATAGACATTTTGACGCTGTGGTAGATAAGGGGTTCGTAATAAACCGATCGCCTCTAGCGGCAACAATTAATCATAGTTGATTTCAAAATCAGTGTATAAAGTGTGAGGACAGGTAAAGCTCCTGCTCAGTAGTTTAGTTAATAAATTATGAACCCTGTACTCTTCCTGCCAGTGGTATGGACCCTGTACTCGTCCTGCGAGTGGTAGTATGGACCTTAAACTCGTCCTGCGAGTGGTAGTATGGACCTTAAACACGTCCTGCGAGTGGTAGTATGGACCTTAAACTCGTCCTGCGAGTGGTAGTATGGACCTTAAACTCGTCCTGCGAGTGGTAGTATGGACCTTAAACACGTCCTGCGAGTGGTAGTATGGACCTTAAACACGTCCTGCGAGTGGTAGTATGGACCTTAAACACGTCCTGCGAGTGGTAGTATGGACCTTAAACTCGTCCTGCGAGTGGTAGTGTGGACCTTAAACTCGTCCTGCGAGTGGTAGTATGGACCTTAAACACGTCCTGCGAGTGGTAGTATGGACCTTAAACACGTCCTGCGAGTGGTAGTATGGACCTTAAACTCGTCCTGCGAGTGGTAGTATGGACCTTAAACTCGTCCTGCGAGTGGTAGTATGGACCTTAAACTCGTCCTGCGAGTGGTAGTATGGACCTTAAACTCGTCCTGCGAGTGGTAGTGGACACTACTCAGAATGGGCTCAAGAACTAAGTATTCACGACAATATATTTCGACTAAGAGTTGAAACATTATCATTCTTGTGTATTAGAACGCTACTATTTTCGACTGGCTATAGGCTAAAATGCTGCTCGCTCAAGTCCCTCCGGAAGTTCTCCAACATTCAATAATTTTACTGGAAATTACACTCCCATTTTTGTAAAGGTCACAGGGCCAGCGTCGATGTTGTCTAACGACGTAAATTAATATCAGCAGTGAAGTGGTGGTTTCTGAGCTACTGGTACCCCGCCTCGGTTAAGCAGAGGTCACGTCCCATGACCCGGAAGAGGGAGCAAAAGGGAAGGGGGGGGGGGATGGGGTCGGAGGTCACCAGGTGTCACGGGGGAAAGCTGTGGTGTTTATCTACCCGCTTCCCTTACCTTTAAATAACACAATAAAGCAGTTGTCGCAACTGCAAGAAAAATTACAGGTTGGATAACAAGGACCTTCCAAACAAGGAATGCCATACCAATGGCGATGCTATTCAAGACACTACACAGAGAAATGACATTAACGTGATATATCAGTGAACAAATCCACAAGATCCGTGATGAGGGTTCGAACCAGGCGCGCTTTAGTCCAGACACAAGTGCTCTCTAGGGTGGAATATTGCTGCACACTAACATTCACCATTCAAACCTGGCGAATTTGCTGACTGAGAGAGTGCAATGATCCTTTACTGTTAGAATCCACACTATGAAACATCTAAATTATTGGGACCAATTAAAATTGTTAAATCTCTCGAGCGCAGGCGAGAGATGTATAATAATTTCCACCTACACAATATTAGAGGGACCGGTTCCAAATCTGTACATGGAAATACACACAAGACCAGTAGGCATAGCAGAATGTGCAAAATAGCCTGACTGAAAAGTACAGGTGCAAGTTCAAGTATGTTTATTGAGACAAGAAAGAAATACATCTCAAAGGGATAGAGTAGCTTAGGCTATTTCTACCCCCCCCTCTACTTCAAGTCCCTCAAGGGGCGCACAAATTCAGTAAGTACAAATAAGCAATTAACATTACAAGAATCCCTTTTAACATTGCAGGTTAATATAGTAAGCACGGCATATAATTGTTACACTCTTGGGGCAAAATTCTTGTAGCTCCTAAATATACTGTCTATCATACCAGTGTTACACATCCAAACAATTTGATGTGGTACACTACTTATTTCCTTATTTCTATAGTTATCAATAAGTTGACACTCTAGTACATAATGTTCTAAGGTGTGGTCGTGCGGCATACTACATAATTTACACTCCTTATCTTTTTCACTGACATCAACACCGTATTGCCAGATATATTTGTATCGTAATCTTAATTTCATGTAAATTGAATCCTTCCAAGTAGACTTTCCTCTACCATAGGTGAAGGACGAATTAGTATTTATTATTAAATAATTCTTAAGTTTTTTTTTTTTTATTAAGTTATGAGGTACATCTGCATTAGTGCAGCTGTGTTACTACTGTCCACCATTGCCATTCTCTTTTCCATTTCTTCACCCTCTTGGATCATGAGAGTGAAGAAATGGTAAAGAGAATGACAATGAGCTTTAAGCTACGAAAATAGATTAAAGACACTAAAACATTCAACCCTCCCCTCCGAGGAGATATGATCACAAAATGAAAGATAATGAGGGAATAGACGAGACGGAAAAGAAAAGCCTCTTTAAATGCTAAAAAGTAGGACGAGAAGACACGAGTGAAAGCTGCAAATGCAAATGAGTCGAAAATTTTAGGAAATACTCGTGCCCCGTACAGATTGTCAACGGGTAAAATGCACTGAAAGAAGTGGAAGTTACCTCTATACACGATTGTAAAACCAGATAAGACAAAGAATTCTATCGTCAGGATAGTTAAAAGTTAAATTATAACGCAAAGTACAGCAAAGCTAGTAGACGAACACAAACAGCTAGTAGACCTTGCTTCTCCATAGTCACTGATAGGTAAACACAAGTAAATGCTAAATCTGAATGATATTTGTGTCTATCGTATGATAATCTGTCATGATTTGCTCGCTGTTATTTTCCAGTCAGTGTCTTGCTTAACTTAATTTTCAGATGTGGTTTCTAGAGATAATGATAATGTTTATTCAGGTACAGTACATACATTCAAAATGAGTTACAAACAGAATGTTGGATTTCTAGATAGAGCTTTTTTTTATTATTAACAAGCTTAGGTATATACAGCAATGTGCTGCTACCCTATTCTATATGCAAGATTACAGTGTAGATAAAAAAACTAGCTAGAAATTCATACCTAAAGCTACTAATACGTACCGTGTTTCGGGCAAGATGTGGGAAAAACACTTGGACTAAAACTTAAAATTAATAGAGATCAAAAGCATGAATTGAAAAAGGAAAAAAAAACAAAAAAGAATGATGATAATTACATGATGGATGGAACAACTTACAGATGCATAGCTTTCAGCCAGACTTTCTCCGTACTCCTGCCCGAAACGCTATGCGTGCAAGTGGCTCTACAAGAATGTAAATACTGTACTCTTGTATATATAAATAAATACAAATAAATAAGAGGTGTTGATTGATGTCTTTGACTTACAGGGCGGAGTTGGAGGCGAGCTACGCCAAGGGTCTCAACAAACTGTCAGGCAAGTTGCTGAAGGCCTCAAAGGAGAGCATGGGCACCGTCAATCAAGCCTGGCAGATGGTGGGCGCTGAGCTGGAGCAGGAGGGAGACATGCACAAGTGAGTGTGAGAGAAGACCCAAGTAAACACGCGAGTGTGGGGGTACTGGAGGAAGGAAGCGAGAGAGAAAGTGTGGGGTGAAGTAATCACGATATTTTATCTCCCCACAACTTTTTACTCTTGCTTCCTATCTCCTCATTTTCCCTTTCCCTTTTCCTCTTCACTTACTTGCTCCCTCACATTTTTATTAGTTGAGGTGTAATGATAACTTAAAAAAAGGGATAACGTTTTTAAGATTACTGTATCTCAAACCACATAAAATCAATTTTACATACCAGAAAAATTAAGTAAATTAGCTAGATCATACAACATTTAGTTAACTATAACATTTGAAGAGGGGAAACTCGTCTAACAAATCATGGGTTTGTGCTGTAGGTAGCACTGAAGTAATCCTGTTTATTCTTTTCATCTTTACTAACTATAAGGTTTTGCCTTGCAAGGGCCAATTGACTTCCTGCAGTTAATTTTATTTTTATGTGCTTAGGCATAGGAAACAGCAAATGGCATATTGGCCTATATGAGGGAACCTATTTATACCCAACCACGTGATACATTTAAGCTTCATTAGAAAAGAATAGAACATAAGAACAAAAGTAACTGCAGAAGGCCTATTGGCCCATACAAGGCAGCTCCTATTTATAACCACCCAATCCCACTCATATAGATGTCCAACCCGCGTTTGAAACAATCGAGGGACCCCACCTCCATCACGTTACGCGGTAATTGGTTCCACAAATCTACAACCCTGTTACTGAATCAGTATTTACCCAAGTCTTTCCTAAATCTAAAGTTATCCAATTTATACCAATTGTTTCATATTCTGGCTTGTGTTGATACTTTTAATACCCTATTAATATCCTCTTTGTTATGTCCATTCATCCATTTGTAAACCTCTATCATGTCACCCCTAACTCTTCACCTTTCCAGTGAATGCAATTTAACCTTTGTTTATCTCTCTCTTCATATGGCAGGTTTCTAATTTGAGGAATTAACTTATCCTATGAGAGACACTTTCAAGTGAATTTATATTCATTCTATAGTGCGACGACCAAAATTGAACTGCATAATCTAAATGTGGGTCTAACTAGTGCAAGATATAGCTGAAGAACAACACCAGGTGTCTTGTTATTAACGCTTCGATTAATAAATCCCAGTGTCCTATTTGCCTTATTACGAACATTCATGCATTGATCTTTTGGTTTTAAATTCTTATTAATCATAACTCCCAGATCCCTTTTGCAATCTGACTTCGCAATCTCAACACCATCTAGCTCATATCTTGTAACTCTATCATCATTACCTAGCCTCAAAACTTTACATTTATCAGCATTAAACTGCATCTGCCAATCTTTTGACCATTTCAAAACCCTGTTTAGATCGACTTGAAGTGATAGCGAGTCTTTTTTCCGTGTTTATTTCCCTACCGATTTTTTTATCATCAGCAAATTTGCAAATGTTGCTACTCAAATCTGAATTGAAATCATTTAAATATATTATAAACAACAGAGGTACCAGGACAGCTAGAGCCTTGAGGCACTCCTCTCTCAACATTTTCCCACTCTGACTTGACTCCATTTATACTAACTCTGTTTCCTTTGGTATAGCCATGCCCTAATCCAACTTAATATAGCACCCCCAATACCATGAGCCTCTATCTTTTTAATCAGTCTTTTATGTGCCACTGTATCAAAAGCTTTGCTAAAGTCATGATACACAACATCACAATCTTTACCACTATCAACTGCTTCAACTATGCTGGAATAAAAAGATAGCAAATTTGTTAAACATGGACGGCCATTTGTAAAACCATGTTGTAAATCATTTATTAATTTATGGTTTTCAAGATGAAGACGAATTGTATTTGCAATTATCGATTCAAGTAACTTTCCCACAATAGACATTAGGCTAATAGACTGATAGTTTGACGCAAATGATCCACCTCCTTTCTTAAAAATTGGTACCACATTAGCAACCTTCCATGACTATGGCACTCTGCCAGACTATCAATTTATTAAATATGGTAGACAGTGGATCACAAAGCTCCTCTGCATTCTTTAAGCACCTTGGCAAACACTTCATCTGGCCCTGGGGATTTGTTTGGTTTGAGTTTTACTATTTGTTTAATTACATCCTCCCTGGTAACTGCTAAACTAGTCAACCTGTCCTCATCCCGACCCACATAGACTTGTTCAGGTGAAGGCATATTGTTAAGTTCCTCTTTAGTAAATACAGAGATAAAATATTTATTAAAAATACTACTCATCACTTCGTCATTATCCGTTATCTGACCTGTTTCAGTCTTTAATTGACCTATCCTTTCCTTAATCTTAATCTTTGTTCGATATAACTGAAAACACCCTTTAGGATTTCTCTTTGCTTGCCTTGCTATGCGAACTTCATAGTTTTTTTTTCCCCTCCTTATCTCTCTTAACATTTCTAACCAGTTGTATGAATTCCTGTTCTAAACTGACTTCCCCATTCTTAATCCTTTTATACCCTGTTCTCTTTTTACCTATAAGGTTCTTCATATCCTTTGTTATCCATTTTAGGTCATTAGTATTAGATCTATTCAATTTGTATGGTATACTACATTCATGTGCTTTGATTAGAATATTTTTATATAAGTTATATTTTGAATCCACATCAAAATCCCTTTTTCCGTCACCTTTCGCTGGGTTCACGTCTCGCTCCAAGACCGGTCCACTCCCCATGCCCCAAGACTTTCCAATCTATTTGGCCCAAAAAATTTCTTAGGCTGGCTATTATAATCAGCTTTTCGAAAATCCGGCACTTTAACAGGATTTTCTCCTACAGATCTATTCCATTCTAGCCTTAACATAACCTTAAAAACCTTGGAACCTTAACCTAGCAATGGGTTCCATAAATATTCAGCCCTGTTTGTAAACCAGTATTTACCCAGTTCTTTTCTTATATATTAACTTCTATTAATATTTTCTAATTTTATCACCCCCATTAATATCCCTCCTGTTATATTCTTTCACCTATTTGTATATACTGTACTTTAACTATTTGTTTTCCCTTATGGTTCATTGACTTGATTTCAGACACATCAACATGTTGAGGGAACATGTATGAAATACAAGTCAATCTAGCATCATGATTAGACCTGGTGGGGAACCTTGAGATCATTTCTGTCTAGATTTTTACCAATTTTTGAGTACAATAATTTTAGTTTAGTTTAATTATTTTAGTTAATTTTAGTTAGTGCTTTTAGTTTCCACCCTTAATGGTTATCGTTTTGCAGATCAATTGCATCTGCACTAGCAGATGATGTGGTGCGGCCACTCCGACAGTTGATTGAAACTCAACATAAAATTCGCAAGGGTGTGGAGAGTATGGTGGATAAAACCACGAAAAATCTTCATGACTGGCGAGCAGCAGAAAGCAAGGCCAAAAAACAGTGTTACGGTAACTGTAGAGAGAATGAGAAAATTCAAGACATCATGCTAGAAGCCAGACTGGGAAGAGGCAAAACCCTTTCTGACAAGGAGACAGTCAAGGTTAATATTTTAATTTCAGTTTGATAATTTTGTGCAACACTGTACTGCAATTTATTTCTGCAGTAAATATTAGAATGTATATTTTCCTTGAAATGCAACTTTTTTGTGCTTGCTGGATAATCTAATTCTGTATGGAATAAAACAAATTGTAAACTAGATTAGGGTTTGAATAATAGATTCAATTGATTCAATAAAAATAATTTTTGATTCAATATTTAATTGATTCAATATTTCACTATCATTGTAATTAAAATGAAATTTGAATGTCCTTTCCACATAATAACTTGCATTTTGGTTATTCTAGATGGAGAAGCAGCGACGGAAGGCAGAGGAAGCCGTCCAGAAGAGTGATCTGGACTATTACACATGCTGCATTCGTGCAGAGAGAGCAAGGTACTGTCATCACATCATTTTGGTTACATTACTGTATGTAGCTAATTGTGAAATACATTATATACTTCTCATGACTTAGAAACCTTCATTAAAATGGACTAAATCTCCACACACTACCTCAACTTCTTCAGATAATTCATAACTGGGAGCAGTTAAGCTCATGACCACAAAGCCTAGCAATGGTTAAGAGCACGAACACGAGGAAAATTCAAAATCATTGTTACTTCTTCCATCCAACAAAATACGATGTTGACAAATTACGTAAAAATGTTTGCTAAAATTTTAAGGGCCTTGGTAGTATAGATGGGTTCATTCTTGATTTGCAATTGTGAATCCCAGGTTTGAATGCTGGACGAGACAGAAATGGTTGGGCACCTTTCCTATCACTTAATGCCTATGTTCACCTAGCAGTAAATAGGTACTGATACTTGGAGTTAGTCAACTGTTGTGGGTTGTATCCTGGAGAAGATCATATAAACCTAACATATACAGTATACTCTACTGTATGTATATGCAAAGGCAGCCTTTCCCTGCCAAAATTAATTAAATGATTAATTTTGCCTGCCAGTTGCATGTTGGACCATCCTGGTCTAAATCATAAGTGGAGCACTTTCAAATAAAAATAAATGTAAAGGTATCAAGCTTCATCTAGTCTGTTTTCTAACAGACTTGAGTGGGAATCTGCAGTGTACAAGGGAAGCAGTTGCTTTCAGACGTTAGAGGAAGAGCGTTTGCAGGCACTCAAAGATCTCATCGTTAAGTACCACAAGAATGCCAAAGAATCTGCTCCAAAAATGATTGCGGTGAGTAGTGGCTGCTATAATAGCAGTACTGTACTGTACTTCTGAAATACTACGTCTAGTTTGCTGAAGGCTTTTTTTATAATGGCATTCATAAATTAAAATTATTTCTTCAATGTTATACTGTCACTATTGTATCAATTGCTAAAGAGGTAATTTTAATTTTAGAATAAAGTACTGAATTTATAAATAAATAAATAAATAAATAAATAAATAAATAAATAAATATGTTTATTCAGGTAAGGTACATACATACAAGTGATGTTACATTAATGGATTGATATATAGATAGAGCTAGTATATACAATGCCTAAAGCCACTATTACGCAATGCGTTTCGGGCAAGAAAAACATTAATATCTAGAGCTTAATACTAATTGAGCATAAAGAATAAAAAGTGTTGAGAACAAATACAAATAAAGATAAAAAAAAGGGGGAACATGACTGAAAAAGCAGCACAAATACAATAGGTTGACAAACAGTGTTGATTAAAAAAAAAAAATAAATAAATAAATAACAGACATGGGTTGACAATAGAGGAGTGAGGTAGGTTACAGGGAATTTATTAGGTAGTGTTTAGTTTTTATCTTAAACTGGTTGAGAGAGGTACAGTCTTTAACATGGTTGGATTTGGATTTGGCAATTTTGGAAAGCAGTTATTATATAGCTGATAACAGAATAACATAACTTCAGCAGTAATATAACACATACAGTATTGTTATGTAGTGTGCTGCAAGGGGTAAAGTCTGCATGAATGGCCTCTATCTGGGAATTTAGCAAGGTGGGGGTTGAGAAAGTTAAAACTAGCAAATACAGTGTAGTTGGAGTAACTATAGATACTACGGTAAATTGGAAACATTTATTATGGAGTTTTCATGAGTTGTGTATGGTTGCCTTAGGGAAAATAATTATAGAAATTAATTATAACAATGAATGATTTACCAAGTACAGTACTGTACTGTACTTTATAAATTAAATGGAAAATACGATGTGAGAATGTTAGTGGGACAAGTATGTTGCGGGCAAGTCAAATTAAAAAATTAGTAGATGTTGTGTGAAACACATTTTATACGAGGGAATGAGAAAAATGAGAAAACATAATACGGTAGTTTTTGTGTATGTAAGAATAGTTCACAAACTGCATATTTTGACATACTGTACTGTGATTACTCTTGCATAGTTCTCAGTAGCATGTATGAAACATGTACTGCATTACAGTATACGAGTACACTCAAGACTGTTTTACTGTATACACACTTATGCTGATCTTTTCTAATTTCTTGTCTATTGCATTCATTTGTGCATAATGTATTATACATATACAGTATTCCAATAGCATTCCAAGATAAAAATTTGGAAGCACACATGAATATTTCCTTTACCAAACTTACATGATAAATTCTTCATCTTGTTCACAATATTCTTCTGCTCTTCTTTCTAGTGGAAAACCTTCAGCACAGTTATTTACAAATTTCTGTAGTAATATTTTGAGTGTTATGGTAAGGTTTAAGTTTTTAGCTGTATTTCAATCAAGATTCGGTTATGATAGCATATTTGGTGACTGTTGTCGCTGCAGATGGCGGCACGTCTTGAAGAGCCAGTGGCGGCTTGTGATGTGGAGAAGGACATACAAACTGTGATCTCGGCCAAAGGAACAGGAGAAAATATTCCAGAACAGATGCTACCTGATTTTTATGCAGAAGATATGAACAATATAATGAATAGGGAAAGAAGAAGAGAGGTTAGTATTTCTCATTGGTTTACTATGCATATATAAAATGTGTGCCCATAACAGTTTTGGCTAGAAGAATTTAATTCTTGTTTAACTTTTTTCTATATTTCTTCACATTATACACACACATACAGAATCACGTTTGTCTTTATATCTTTCATTAATTTATTTTTCCTTTTTACATTTTTGATGAGGACACTAATAAGTATTTGTAGAAACTTTGTATTCCATTCACTTCAATTTATTTTGTTTTCTTACAACAGATGGTTAGAATACTGGCAAATGCTCTTAATTACAGAAAATATAGAAAATATATGACTGCATTTGGAATGCAGCAATACAGACAAATTTCCTCTTTGAAAATTCTGCTACTTGTAGAAGATAATATGATCTGTCAGTTGAGATTTTCAGATATTTTGGTCTTTCTAAGCCTAAGCTTCTCAGTTACTGAGTTTGGCAAGTCCTGCTCTTTCCAGGCCTTGGCTGCCTTGAGCCAGAATAACCTTCTCATCTCCTTAGCCAGAGGGGATCTTTGCAAACATTTCATCCCAAACTTGTAAGAACACTGAAGAGTTCTTAATCCAGACCCAAAAGCCTGTCTGACAGTACATTCCTCTACACTCGGGAAAGAAATGTTAATTAAGACTTTACAATACAGTATATATATATATATATATATAATATAATAAAAAAATTTAAATAATGTACACACTCATTCACTCACTGTACAGGTACTGCCAAACAAAAGTACAGTAAAGTGCAGGCATCAATGAAATTTTAACCAGTACACATTTATGTTCTGGCTGGTTAGATATATGTCCTCCATTCTGGTTAACCTGGTGTCGCCCTTTGTATCAATTAATTACTAACTCAGTGTTTAAAATACTTGCTTGGAAATTCCAACTTACATCATAGTTATGCTGAATGAAATTTTGCTACAATGTACCTATTAGTAATCTTCAATTTTTATTACGATGTACTTATTAATCATCAAATTTTCCTACAAATTACCTACTTATAATTATCTGTTAGATTAAGGACTTCTCCTGCCTTGCCAAAGCCACAAACGCTATGCGTGTTAGTGCCTTTGCAAGAATGTAAAAACAATGTTTTGTACTCCCACAAACCTAGTATACCTTCTTGTACAGTATATAAATAAATAAAACTGGGAGGTCAATTAAGTTTCTGGTAATGACGACTTTGACTCAAGTTTTCTTTAGTTAATGAGTTATTAGTAAAGAATTGGAGCCTGACTGTACATGAAAGAATAATGGGTTAGGGTAGTAAACTACCTTAACCCATAAAGCAATTGTTCTGAGTAAGTTTAATTCCAGGGCAGGGCATATTTTCTTCAACCTACTGTCTCTGTTCACCTAGCAATATATATGCCTGGGAGCTAGGCAACTTGTTTGGGTTGCATCCTGGGGAATAGTATTCTCTGGCTAATGTGGACCTCAATAAGCCTAACAGGCTTCCTATTTCCCAACAATAGGAAACTATACATACAGTATAATATAATTTTCTTGGAGTCTATATATGAAGGACAATGAATTTGTATCTCATAAGACTGTTGAACTTAAATGCATCTTTATTTTACTTCACTATTTCCAACAGCTTTTAATTTCCTTTTCCAAAAGACTTGTGTACTGCATACTTTTACAAATTTCTGTTAAAAATGTGTATTATACATAAAAATAAACTCCTGATAAAAGGTCAAAATGAAATGTTTCTCTCTCATTTAGGCACTAGAAAAGTTTATTCAAATGCTAAGAACGGACTTGGAGCGTGAGAGACGAGGAAAGCAAGGGGTTGAGAACTTGGCAAAGGCTCTGCAAGAAACTCCTACATTTGGAGGGGAAGAATCACAACAGGATGTGAATGATAAGCTGCAACATGTAAGTTCTCTTTTTGCATTTTGTTTACTCTAAAAGATTGACAAGCACTTTATTATTTTGCTTAAATTAAAAACCTTCAAGATGGTCATGGCAGAAGTAAGTTCTTCCAGTGAAATTCTAAAGTTTACTGTAAGTACAGTTGACTCTCAGTTTACACTTATATGCGAGATGTCAGGTAATGCATTCATTTTGATCTCGTAGATTATTGCTTATGGTTTTATACACAAAATATATTGCATTCAAAGTCCAAGAATTTTATTGAATATAAATGTAAACAATATATTGGAGATCTCCAACTTAAAAACATTTGACTTGCAAACATTCAAACTTATAATGACTGTCCCCATTTTAGCCCTCTTGTTTCTCTATACAAACCAATTCCAAAGTCCCAATACAGTGGTACCTCAACTTACGAATTTAATCCGTTCCCCAGAGATGGCTCGTAAGCCGGATATTTGTAAACTGAAGCGAATTTCCCCATAAGAAATATTGGAAATTGAATTAATCTGTTCCAGACTCCCCAAAAAATTAACTTCAAAGTAAATTTTATACCTAATTCACCCAAATCTTCTGTACTAAAGTATGTACAAGTTATTACTTACCTTTACTGATGACTCTTGTTGGTGTATGGAAGATGGTGAGGAGGGGGGAGGAGAAGAGGTGTTAGTGTTTGGAAGGGGAGTCCCCATCCATTATAACATCAGGCAGTGATGACTTCTCTGGGGTACACTCTCTGGCACATTTTGCCTGCACACCACTAGGACCTGCTTGTGGTTCACTGCTTGTTTTTCTCACTGAAAACCTGTCTAGTGACACTTGTTTTTCCATATGTTGTAACACTCTTCTGAAGTGAGACATCACATAGTCATTAAAAAGGTCAACACAATGGCCTGCTACAGCTTGCTCTGGGTGAATTAATAACAACTTTTCAACATCCTCTAAGTGTTTGTGTTCTTTGTTTCGTGATTGTTGATATGCCTTTTGCCACTTTAGCACTCATAATGTTCTTTTTCTTACCAATTACAGTGCATGTTGTTGACATAGATTTGTTGTACTGCCTAGCTAGTTCAACATGTGTACCATTTTTCATGTTTACGAATGATCTGTTTTTCCTCTATGGTCATTCTCACGTGTGTTTTCTTGGCTTGTACCTTACCACTGGTTTTCTTGGGACAAGTGGTGAGATATACAATAACAACTTTTATGTTCAAATGCCCCAAAATCCCCCCAAAAAACTAATTCTTTACAAAGAATTCAGGTGCAATTGTCACTAGGCAGGAGGCACTGGTAAGCTGAGGCGGGATCGCCATGCCACCACACGCTAGGTCGGCCATACGCGTATTAACAAACTCGTTTCCCGAGGTAAAGCTCGTAACCTGATTCAAATTTTCCGAAGAAATTGGGCTCGTAACCCGAAAAGTTCGTGAATAGGGGCATTTGTAAGCCGAGGTGTCACTGTATTACAAACATGATTCTTGTCTTGTATTTTGAACTTATAAAGAAAATCTCCCATAATAATGGCTAATAAAAAGTGATGTTGAACCTCATGCATCATTGCCTTTTACTGTCTTTTTCCCTTAGTACTGTAATTACCAGATAGATCTATTGGCTCTATAAAAAGTATTACCGTAAAAAAGGCAAGCATGGCGACTCTGTCATTCAAGGAACAGTTTTTTTTTTTTTTTTTTTTTTTTTTAACAGTAAATGAAAAACTATTTCAATATTTCTGGAAGTGCTGGTCCAGCCAAGGCTTAGGGAGATGCCCATTGGAAGCCAGGACCAGATCTAACTCGCTGAGGATAGGGGAGCTTGGGTATCGGAGATCAACCCAGAACTGAGGAAAAAGCACAACAAAAACAACCAACTCCTTAAAGACAATTAGGTACTCAAAGGTAATGAGTTCTTTTGAGTACCTAAGTATCTCCCGACTGGCTCACACTCCTCCAGAGTCTTTCTGGTTGGATTGTGTTCAAGAGTTTTTGTCCCCTTGCCCTAAAACTTGCCCTTGTCCCCTTCCTAAAACGTTTTAGGAAGAGACCCTTCCTAAAACGGCTTTTCTTCCGACTCTGGTTTTCTAGCTATCGGGTTGAGGAGCTTCACACTCATCACCATAAGCTTAGATTTTGTCTTCAGACCAAGTGATGATTTTCTATGTCTCCATCATTTTATGTTGTTTTAGCTAAGCATGAGACTCCTGCTTACCACAGCTGTCGGTTAGTCATTATTCCTTTATTAGTTCAGCTGAGGGGCATCATACATAAAGTCCTGTAGCTGTGGTGCATTGTCATTTGCATTCTTCTTGCATTCTTTGGGCCAAGGCTTCGTTTGTCAGCCATATGACTCATCCTATGGCCAAAGGGCCTGCTGTCTCCAGTCATCCATGTGGTTGTTTGCTGCTTGCTGTATATCCTTGCTTTCATGATGTCTGCAAATATGCTGCTCAGATAGATTTCTTTGACATTATGTCGGTGAATAATAAACAGGCTCAGCGCATTTGGCACTTCTTTAAGCAGTTTCTGATGGTGTTATGCTTATACTGTTTGGTTTTTCTTCTCACTTTTGGGGTTGCATGTACAGTATATCTAAATTCTATGCTCCCCTTGCCTCATAATCCTAGCTGCCTTGACACAATCCTCTGTAAAACCATACAAATAAACTAGGATGCCTTGACGCAAAGCAAAGTGTGTGTGTGACTGAGTAAGAGATGAAAGATTGGCAGGTGTATCATATTTAATTTGAGAGTTGTGCAAGCAAACAGGAAGACGTACAGCCAGGGTGCACGTCTTCCTGTTTTGGGGTTGGGTGGTGTGCTGATATGGTGGTGGTAATTTGGGGAGGTTGGCTGGCTGGTTGGCTGTGTCATTGTCAATATCATCACACTCACACACATGCTACATTTCTTGTACTGTATATTACAAACTTTTGGAGATTTATTTTCTTTCATCATATTCACTTCTGTAACATTCTAGACTTTATTATGTAATATATAGATGTGTGTTGCTGGAAAATCAAGGGAGTATTGCATATAGAATTGTTAAATTACTGTGTCTTATCAAGTATTCAATGGAAAAGATTAATATCTTTGGAGGTCTCTTAAAAATATGCTTTTCTCATAAAAAAGAAAGCAGTGATTTGAGTGATGCTGAATTACATAAATTCAGTGTTACGTGGGTTACCACAAGGTTAATAACAGATTAGTGCTTAACATTGGGTCTACGAGAGTGTGTAAGAGTGAATGTGTGTGTGTAATTACCCAAGTGAAGTTAAAAAGGATTAGAACTATACAGTACTTGTGGTCTTAGTTTATATCTCGGGTTGATTTGGTCCATGCATATTTTGACTATCTGAAACGTTGAGTTGACTGTACACATTTAAATCTAAGTACAGTACAATATAGTACTTTGCTAAGAATAAGAAGACAGTAAAGAGTTTGTATGTATGTGTGTCAGTTTTCAAATTACAATATTACCAAGGTCTTTTGAAATATAATCACTAGTAGGTGTTTTACATGATTTTTTCTCTTCAGTGTTTTCTTGTGTGAATTTGTATATATGTCTGTAAATATGAAGAGTATTTCTTCATTTAGCAAATTCTGTTCTGTATAAAATCTCAAAAGCTCCTATATACTTTCTGATTTCAACAGGATGCCTACAACAGACTTCAACATGTGAGTTTTCTGTTCCATAGGCAATGTTTTTCACTAATTGAATAGTAGAATTTTAGATGCTGCTGTGTGCATGACATGAATGGCCATTTTATCTTTTCTCTAGGATTTCAAATACATTTTTATTTTATTATATATTATTCTTTACTTAAAGTTGCTAGTTTTATTTATTTATTTATTGTTTCCAGTGCTTGACTTACATTTTAATTACATGCCTACTAAGCCCTCAGTAGTAGATGTTGAATGCTCTCATTGAAATATTGACCATGTTTCTTATATTTCCTGTTGGTGAATATCATGTTGGGATCTATATTTAAAAATATCTTTGCAGATGAAGGCAATGCTGGCATACCTGGAGGCTGCACGATACAAGGTACAGAGCTCGCTAGATGAGCTCAGTAACAGACCCAAGATGACACACCCTCTAGCCAAACACATTGAAGTTCACCGTGATAAACAGGGTCTGACCTTCTCCATTTTGAAGGTTAGAAATATGTTTGATTTGATTTGATGTTCTCTCAAGTGTTACATAAAATATTCATTTACTTTTATTTGAAATGGTATAACCTATCGAGGGTAGGTTATTTCACCCCATTTTTGTGGACACTTCATGGTCAGTACTTGGCTTATGCATGACCGTATTGGTAGTACAGTACTGTATAACGAATTCCATTCATATACAGATCACCTCATGCTTACTGGACGCCTTAGAGCTGAGATGGAACAAATAATGTGTTGTGTGTGCATAAGTGGTTCATCATTCTAAAAATCTAGAAAAAATAAAAAAATAAAACTGGCAAAAATTTGACACTATTTTGTTTGTACTCATAAATATGAGAAGTTCTAATCTGATTGTTAATTAACTTGAAGATTATCGGTGATGGTGCATTGGTGAATAATTTGGTAATCATTGACAAAAGTGGACTGTATAGCTTATGAAATTTGTTTGATACCACTTGAAACATCAGGTGTTAGTTTTTTAAATTTTGCTTATGTAATTTAAATTTAGGCTATCCAGTCAGATATTGAATGACTTGGTTCAGATTTAATTTTAGGGTTTAATTTTACTATTCTGGTCTCAATTTAACGATTCTTCGCGGCAGGGGATCGTATTCCAGGGACCTGCCCGAAACGCTACGCATACTAGTGGCTGTACAAGAATGTAACAACTCTTGTATATATCTCAAAAAAAAAAAAAAAAAAAAAATTCCAAGGACTAGCCACTTTGTTGTTCATGCAACCCTTCATGAACATGTATGGCTTGCCTGACAACACGTAAGACAAACATATAACCGACCTTGGCAACACTGCCAAAGCAATGCAGATCCGAATTTATTTCAAGTATCGTGTTTATTTAAATTTGAGTAATTTCTGGGTAATATGAATTCAGGTAAGTATTAGTTAAACTGTAAAATCTTAGCTGGCAAGAAGCATGGGCATGTTTCAAACTCGGGAAGTTGCCAGTATGGCCACCCCAGCATTTTCAGTTCACCCACTCTTGGTGAGAGAACTATTAGCCAGTATAGAACAGTCCCAGCAATGTCAGCCTCCTTTTCCATGTAGTGTTAAGTTTGTTATGGGAAGTTTCAAGGGCTTTTTGAGAGTAATATTAATTAAATCCACACAATCCCTTGACCCATTGCCTTGTCTTGGCGAGTCATGGAACTAACGTACAGTATCAGCTTTATCATGTACAACTTGGTTTCCCTGTAACCCATGTTATCTTTGTTATGAAGTTTAAACTTTCCAAGCATTACATGCATCTATTTAAATTTTGTTTATAGTATTCTGCAGTAGATGAACATCAGCAATACTGGACTGCAATACAGTTCTTGTACATGGTATCAATACTAACCTTCTTGAGTATTGATACCATGTGTGCAGTTTTCAAGATGTCTTGGATATATCTTTTCACAACTGTTATATTCGTCTATTTTCTTTAAGAAACATTATGCTCCACAATAAGTGTAGTATGAGCTTTAGTTTTTAACATTTTTAATTATGGTATTTTGACATTGTTAGGTTCCACCATGGGTCCGAGGGAACAGTGTGGATGTGTCTCCAGCTAGCAACTCCCCAACGGGCTCTCCCAATTGGAATGATAGAGGCACTGCTGATGGAACCTCGGTACAACCAGATTCAGACTTTGGTAAGTTACTAGATCTTAACCATGCTAGTATCAAATTTTGCTAGAAAAGTACTGCATTGCAGTTTAACTTCATTTACTAAATAGAATGAATAATTTAAGCAAATACCTGAAACTGCTTACCATCATATCTTGTATCTGGCTTTTGTTTGACTTGCTCTTCAAAATTTTCTTTAAATAAAATAGCAATTTTTGATTACAACATAACTCAATATGCTTGTCACATAAAGTATTAACCTAAAAAGATACATTAATGCATCATTTTCCCTTTCCCTACCTTGTGCTTTTGTATGCTAACGTTCTTTCATCATAACTACTATCATTGGGTTCCTTCTCCTCCACCTTCCTTCAATATCCTTAAATTCCTAAATGTGACCGATACTAATGTGGGACTTTTTAATGTATCCCCAAATTTTTGAACAGAACACAAAGTGCTGACACCACCAGACAAAACACACACTGATCCCTCACAATCTGGTATCCAAGATACATGTCCTCAGCCTCCTGTAAGAACAAGAACTTTAGCTTCAAGTCCTCCTGCAGAGATGAAACAAATCTCTGCAGATGTAGAATTAACAACACCCAAGCCATTAAAAACCCTTAGCGTGTTTATGTCTGCTCCCCGTTACCCCTCCCTAATGATTGTTACAGACGAGTTCAGCTCCCAGGGTTCAGACCGAGACTACCAGACAACTATCACGGAGGATAATGTGGACTCGGGTACTAAAAATGATGTCTACTATGCTCGTCCCCTAGCATCAGCACCAACAGTAGGCAGGTGTAAAGCACTCTATGACTATGAAGCTAACATGTATGATGAGCTCACCATCAGAACAGGTCAGTGGCTGAACTGCTTCGAAGTTTGATTTATTTCTATTGCATCTGTACTGCTCATGCAGTAAAATATACATCTAATTTTCATTAGATAGTAGTGTAGGTTTACATATTACAAGTCTTTATGATGTGAAAATCCACTAGGACTATAGGTGGATGCGAACCTACGACCCCGGCATTGTCAGTCACATACTCTACCACTAGACCATCGTTGACTTGTGAAAAGTCATAAAACAGGTTTTCTACTGAAATCACAGGAAGTCTGGAGGAGGCTCCTGAAGCCAGTCCAAGTGTTCACGTATGACCCACAGTCATCTGGGTGGAAGGACGTGATGTGATTTTTATTTACAACATAACATTATCATGTTAATGTGATTTCTGTGTGTTTAGTGTGGACGTAAGTTGGAAGACCACTTTGCCCTTCCACCCGAGTGCTTGTGGGTCACACGTAAATACTTGAAATTACTTCAGTATAGGGCCTCCAGACTTCCTGTGATGTCAGAAGAAATCCGGTTGTATGACTTTTACAAGTCAGCAGTGGTCTAGTGGTAGAGTATGCGACTGACAATGCCGGGGTCGTAGGTTCGCATCCACCTATAGTCTTAGTGGATTTTCTCATTGATATATATCACAACGTGATTTCTGTGTGAATCTTTATGGTCTTATTTTCTTTTTGACAAATGCTACCTATGAACAGTGAGTTCATCTGGAATGCTTCTGTAGCTGATAAGTAAAATAATTACTAAACATCCTTTGTTAAAAATTATATTAAAACTGTCAGATGGCATTTGTGTCTCAAGCTAAAGCTGCAGATTTTGTGCAAGAATTTGAGCTCACGTGCTGTTTGAGGGAATATTGTTAGTGCAAGAGCTAGAGGTAATTCTCTCTTGAGTGGGTCTGTAATGAACAAGATAGATATTTGCAGTGGTAGATGGTAGAGAAGCAATATCTAAAAGTAAGGTGTACCTAACCATTATGAATTAGGAGGAATTATTGCAAATGCTCTTCACTTCCTAAAACCCTGTGTGTTCTAGTGATCACATAAAAATCAGGCATTGAATGGAATTAAATGTCCTATTTTTTGTGGCCCTGCAATAACTCTATGAACTTGTACAAACAAGCAATAGCTCAACACACCAGGCTTCGGAGACCTATCCTTTATCTACTTAGAACCAGAACCAAATTCGAATTAACACTTTTAAGATGATGGGTGCCTAGAGTAAAAGAGATCATTTCAAAACCAGGGTAAAACCCACTAAAAAGTATAGGTGCAACCAAATAAGTTACCATTTGTTAGAAAATAATAAGTTACAAAATACATGAAATAAACACGCATAGAATTAGCAGCGGCTGAACATTGTTTCAATGGTTTTGATAAGAGGGATAATAGGGCTAAGATTATCAGTAATTCTTCTAATGATTATCAGTAATTCTTCTAATGGTTATCAGTAATTCTTGTAAAAATAAAAATCTAGATTTCAAGTCACCACCTTCATTTGAAGTGGTGATCTTTACGTTGACAACAAACACTAGAGCACCACATAATTTGTATAATCAGCTCAACTTGCATATTGTCCACTAAAACTTCTCAAGATGAACATTTTTCCCACTTTTAGTTTGATTTGCAAATATACAGTTTTATTTCATATTTTTTTATGCTTGGCACAAATAAAATAGTGCTGCAGTATTTGAATTAATGTTATGGTGCTTTGTATATGATGATCAGAACACAGTGCACAGTTTTCAAGATAATTAGTAACAGAGTGCTCACAGAGTATTGTGATAACTGTTGTCTTAATTTGTTAAAGTAATTTAGAAATTATTTTTAAAAGATACTGTTCTTCTGAGAGGTTTCCCACAGTGGCTCCCTGAAATTTAGGTTTAGATTTAGATTTTTTATTCAGGTAAGGGTACGTATATTGAGTTACATACATAATGTTCGATTTAAAGATAGAGATAGTACATACAATACCTAAAGCCACTAGTACGCATAGCATTTCGGGCAAATGGAAACCATCGAGGGGGATACACCACAAAGAGGCGTTTCATTCTTTCAACACTGTTTTTTCCTTATTACAGGTGACATAATAAACCTTCACGAGAAGCAGCCTGATGGTTGGTGGGTGGGAGAGCTGGAGGGTGTCATCGGTATCTTCCCTGCAACCTACGTCGAGGAGATAGACTGATATCGGCCATGCCCGGAGTGCCCATCTTATGTCACAAACACTACCCAATGCCTCCATAAAACTCCAGCTTGGGAGGAGAGCTTTGCCTAATGTAGTATCAAGCTTTAATATGTGTCTGCCTGCTGTGCATAAATATTTACTGGTCTAAAGGAGAAACTTTCAGTTGCTAATGGACAATATATCATATTTTAATAGTCTTAGACAAACCTTAATCTAATTGAGCTGATCACATAATTAAGCATTTGTTATTAGTTCTTTTTAAGAAATGAAATTGTGGTAATGTACCTGTATAAGAAAAAAAATACCCTTTTTTTAATTAGAATAGAACCTTATTGGGATTTTTCATCAGAAAACCTAATGGAAATTTTAAGTTAGTGACATAATATGGATATGAGTGGGGCAGGAACTGGACTTACTATTACCAGTGGCATATCAAGAGCAACACCTAGTGCTCATTTGATTTTGCAGTGTCAAAGTCATTTCCAATTTATCGTCTGCTTGAAAATATTGCGCTCCGTGGCAAAATGTACAGAAAATCCTAACATGTGTTCTGTACATCTACTTTACTGAAGAAATACATTTTGCTCTGTACGAACACACGTGTAACAAGTGCAAAGTTATGCTCCTGTGCCTATTCACAGACAGAATAGGTGAATGCATAATGCACAGTTTTTTTTAATCTATTATGTTTTTCACATAAAACTATAATGCTGACATTATTTTGTGTGCCATTGTGATTAAGTCATATAAATATCTTGACTGATGCTTACTGGTGTGTATGTTGTGTATATATTTTATATAAAGTCTTCCAGTCTGCCTATGTTACAGTACACTATGGTCTTCATATTTTATCACTTAACTCATTGTCAGACAGTTTTTGTATTCAGAAGGAATAGATGGGGAGGCAACAGTCCAGAGAGAGAGAGAGAGAGAGAGAGAGAGAGAGAGAGAGAGAAAGGAATGATGAAGGAAAAAAAAAAGATATGGAAAAGAAAGAAGGGAAAAAGGTGATCATTGCCCCTAATGGGAAGATATTCTCTGAAGATGGATTACCAGGCCAATACCCCCACCACTATAACACATGGGATGCAAGGCTGGATAAACCACATCCCAAGGCCAAAGAAATATATATTATACACAAAGATGCTGCATATGTAATTGTTATTGTTCATATTGCATTATCAGTGGATATTTAATGAATATTGCTTCAATGTAAGACTGTAATATGATGTGCTTATAACTAGAATTAAACAAAAGGCAAATTATTTTTTTTTTTTTAAGTAGAATCTACTCTTAAAGTATCCTTTTTTTATTGATATTTAGAAATTTGCCTGTGCATTATTTAGAGATAAGCACTTCTTGATCAAAGCAATGCAATCTGACATCATTACAGATGCTATCCTTTATGGGGCTGTGTTAAAGCCTCTAGTATTGACTGGCACAGTACCTTCTTTCTCTGTCATATGACAATGATAGTAAACCCAAAGAAGTTCTTATCAATGCCTGTCCCCTCTCTCAATTGAATGAATGTCATGAATGATTTTGTTTCAATTTACCATTTTTAATGAAAATTAGAATCTTATTGAAATCTCTCTCTTAATATTATCCACGAATTGGGTCCTTGTAGAATTGTACATTTGATATCCTGTTTTGATTTTAGGTTAGATTTTGTATACTTGATTATATATTTTCTATGTGTACATTGTTGTATATGGCTGTTGTAAGTTGAATCTTGTGTACATAGTTTACAATAATTCAAAAATTGTCTTGTATAAACAGTTCTTTTGGTTCTCATAGTCATGTATACGAATACTGGGAACTGAATATCAAAATTTAAAATGCAGTATTATTTCACCTACCTTGGTCTATTTTCTTTTTTTATCAAATGCATTGAGGTATGCGATGCTATAATCTAAAATGTTGAATACATTGTATAATAAAATAAATTTGAATTTAAAACTCTCATAAAATACTTGCTTATATATTTTATCACCTATCTTTTCTTAGCTTGAATCCGTGACCTCTTGTTCTTGAAGTTGCAGGTTAAAACATTCCTCTTTGCTTCCATCTACCAAGTGTTGCCCCAGTAATGTTTGTTCACGTTCATCTTAAAAGGCATTAGTCATCTATTCCTTAGCAGTTTAGCATAATTAACAAACATGTTTATATAACTCTGTATCCCCTCTGGTAGATCATTCATATAGATAATAAACATTACCAGTATTAGAAACTGAATTTTGTGGTATTGTGCTAGTAACTTTTTTTCCTATCTGATACATTCAAGAGTGGAATTCCACTCTTGAAGCACTGCAGTGGTATATAAGGTCAGTGAGTTGACTGTGATGAGCCAGAGGTTTGTCACAGTCAACGTAATTTCTTTCATTACAGGGAGGGGAATGAGAGATGATAGTGATGAGTGCTAGAAGGAAAGGAGTGTGTTAAACGTGTAGAGGGAGATATATCTGATATATGTAAGTCAAAGTGAGGGGGAATATGTGCTACAGCAAACACGTGTTAGGGCAGATGGAAGCTTGCTTGAGGGAGGGTACTGTAGAGGTTTGGAGGGGAAAGCATGCTAGAGGAAGCAGGAGTCAGGAGCATGAGTCCGTTGGGACAGAGATCACTTTGCCAGCATGCCCTTGCCAGCCCTGTGGGATAAATACAAAATGTATTACTGTTTAGCGTCATACACCGTAGGTAAAGTAATTATGAAAATAAAGTGCTAACCTAATATGACATTATAGTGCTTGGAAGGACTATGAAGACAATGATCTGGAATATGAGGATGGTGGAAAAGAATGGTGCCCAATCATTTGAACTGTTGAGGGTCGAATGCCAACCTACAGTAAATGAGGTCATCGCTGTACTAATCAATCCAAGTGGTTGTATCGGATAATGCAGCTGGATTACTGAATAAGCATTAACAAAGAGTCTCACCCCCTGCAGGCGGTGGAACTCCGTCCATGCCGCCTTCAGTACCCGCCACACTGTTGCAACTCTGTCTTGTAGGCCGTCTTAGTTTTTGTATGGGTGATGGTGATGGGGTTCCAGGCCACCTCCGTCGTTGTCACTTGCTGGAGCTGAGGTACGGTCACAACCTGACAAAGAAACAAGTTGTTAGCGTTCCACCTGGAACTCCAGGAATACAGTAGTAGCTGTAATGGTAAGAGCAGTAGTAGTTGTAACAACAGTAGTAATAGCAATAGTAATAGCATCAGCAGGTAAAGCAATAGAGGTATTACTCACAGTGTTGGTGAGTGTGTGGAAGCTGGTAGTGACAGTCTTGGTGATGTACTGGTACGTGGCAACTGTGCGTGTTGTCACCAGCGTCCTGGTGGCTGTCTTCAACTCCTGTTTAGTGACGGTGCGTACCACAGTAGACAGCTGCGTGACCACCAGAGTCCTGGTGGACGTACTGGTGACCTTTATTAACGTAGTCTCTGTCAGTAATTGCGTGACAGTCATTAGTTTGCCCTCTGTCAGGGTACCAGTGGCATAGACAACCCTGGTGCTGGTCCAGTACCCTACCTCTCGGGGCTTGACTAGGGTGGTGATGGCCGTGGCAGTAACTAGCAGCGTCTTCTCCAAGGGAATGGTGGTGAAATCGACGATGGTGAGCTGCTGGGGCACTGTCACATAGTCGGTGGTCACCCATGTCTGTGTAACCTCCGTCACCACTGGCAGCGTCGTCGTCGGACATTTCTCTCCACCATTCCCACCAATTATTCCACTTCCGGACCCGGTTCCACTTCCTATACCAAAACCGGTTACACTCCCTGTACTGACTTCGAACCCGGTTCCAATTTCTGAACTAACTCCGAACCCGGTTCCATTTCCTGTACCGACATCGACACCATTTCCACTTTCGGCATTTACAGTAAATCCTCCACTTCCGCTGACATTGCTAAACCCACTCCCACTGCTTATGTCTGTGCCAAATCCACTTTCAGTACCTCCACTACCGATGCCAGTATCAGTCCCATCGTTTCCATTTCCATAATTTATATTGAACTCGCTGCCACTTCCGGTGCTACTGCCGAATGGAACATTTCCGGCACCAACGTTGTATCCACCACTCCCGACAGTCCCTCCGCCAGCCACTCCTCCGTAAACCGGGCTAACTAGGTATATGCCGGCATTGTAAAGCCCCTTGTAGCCATAAACTGGATTCTTGTAGGAGCCGCCGGTCTTGTGGCCCTTGTTCCAATTCTTGTTGAATAGGTCGAAGAACCCCAAGGATGGGGACGCCTCCAGTACCACCGTTGTCATCAGCACAGCCAACATCCACATCTGCAATTGTTAAGGGTGGTAATAGGACTGGTTTGTAGATATGGGATTAGACACACATGCACATGCACACACACATACACATAATCAGGGATGTAACACGGGTTTGGGTTCCTCTCTCTTTACTTCTCTTCCTTCTACTCCCTCTACCTGTATTCTTACTTTTATTCTCTACCAAGGGACTCCAAAACTTTTACCAAAGCCAACTCCACGCCACATGGTCCTAAGACGATTGACCGACTTAGGATTCTACACCCAGTATGACGTGACCTAGGCTCTGAGCAAAACCCTAGAGTCGCCTCTACGCTGCCACCACCAGACCAGCTACACAGAGCAATGATCGAGGTCTGGATCGATCACGCTAATTAATCAACCTTGGGGCTTGATCCCCACTAGTAGTTTATAACCTCGGAAACTTGAGTGTGGAATTAATTAGATGGGGATGATGAATTCCGATCCGATGTTAGAATCGGCGCCCAATGCAACTCTGCCTCGTGTGGACCACGTGACCAGGACAAGTATACACATAAAACACATGGAAACAATAAAAATGCAAATTATTAACTTAATTTATTAAAAGAAAACTAAAACAAAAATCTAAATATGTTCACTCCCTGTCACTTTAACACTCCCTACTTGACCTGAGTGGCAAATGAGAAGACTATCCCTATAATTAACAATAGCAACTATACCTTTGGCGACCAGCTCTAGATGTTGGGCTGGTCTTGGGGAGAGGTAAGATGTTTGACCTCTTATCCCAGCTGCTCCCGTTTCCACACTAATCTCTCCCTTGTCTGGTCTACCCCAGACAGACTATTGTAACCTTCCGCCTAGTCAAAGTTTCACAAAGTTACTAGCAAGGTTTAAGTTATAACAATTAACCTCTGTACTGAATTGATCCAGACTGGTTGAATTATTTTACTGAAATTAAATTAGACAAACATCTAACGGCAGAGCTGTTCCCGATCACAAAAATGGTTATTAAAACTTTGAGAAATCGTAGACCTGTCAACCCTGATGACCTATGACCGCCGGTCACTCCGCCTTACAAGTTAGATCTGATTCGTGACGTCACTGATGGTGACTTAAACTCAATAATTAGAATACTCTTGATATTGTATCCAGTACTATTATACAATACAATTTTAATACAAAATGAATAAAGGCTAATTTCTCTAAATTACTGAATACTATAGGATGATTCATTATACGCAGCTATGAACAAAGCGTCGGTTATTTCCACCGCGAATTCCCCTGGGGGTCAGGTCACCATGCGGGCTCAGCTTCCCATTCTCTTTTGTCGATAAACCACTCTGGATAATTCTTACAACAGCCTAGTTTGTTACAGGGAGGTTACAGTTTGTTTGTGCTGTGATCACCACATTCAAAATTCTCAGGGGAACTGACAGGGTAGACAAGGATGGATTATTTACCGCAGGTGGTACACACACAAGGGGACACAGGTAGAAGCTGAGTACCCAAATGAGCCACAGAGACATTAGAAAGAAGTTTTTCAAATGTCAGAGTAGTTAGTAAATGGAATGCACTAGGAAGTGATGTGGAGGAGGCAGACTCCATACACAGTTTCAAATGTAGATATGATAGAGCCCAGTAGGCTCAGGAATCTGTACACCAGTTGATTGACAGTTGAGAGGCGGGACCAAAGAGCCAAAGATCAACCCCGACACGCACAACTAGGCGAGTACAAACACACACACACGTGTGTGTGTTAGAAAAATGTGTAGTAGACATAATAGAGGAAAAATAAATTGGTTAGAAAGGCGGGGTCCAAGAGCTAATAGCTCGATTCTGCAGATACAAATAGTAAGTACACACATGCATCTAATAACGAATTATTACGAGTGTACAATCAATGAAATAAGAAAGATGATGACTGAGAAAACAATAAGGTCATATGACAAGACTGAGTTCGGTGCTGTGAAAATGTGCGTTGGAGTTATTCTTTTCCTCGGAGGAGGAGGAAGGGAATACTCATGAAATGTGGAAGAGGGTCAACATCGCACCTATATATTTAAAGAAGCAATTACGCTTTATCGACATTCAGATTCAGATTCAGATTCAGATGTTTATTCAGGTAAGGTATATACATACAAGTGATGTTACATTAATGGATTGATATATAGATAGAGCTAGTACATACAATGCCTAAAGCCACTATTACGCAATGCGTTTCGGGCAAGAAAAACATTAATATCTAGAACTTAATACTAATTGAGCATAAAGAATAAAAAGTGTTGAGAACAAATACAAATAAAGATAAAAAAAAAAAAGGGGGAACATGACTGAAAAAGCAGCACAAATACAATAGGTTGACAGTGTTGATTAAAAAAAAAGAAAATAACAGACATGGGTTGACAATAGAGGAGTGAGGTAGGTTACAGGGAATTTATTAGGTAGTGTTTAGTTTTTATCTTAAACTGGTTGAGAGAGGTACAGTCTTTAACATGGTTGGGAAGGCCATTCCACATTCTGGGCCCTTTGATTTGCAGAGCATTTCTAGTTTGATTAAGTCGTACTCTAGGAATATCAAAACTGTATTTATTTCTGGTGTGGTGCTCATGGGTTCTGTTACAACCTTCTATGAAGCTTTTGAGATCAGGATTGGCATTATAGTTTAGCGTTTTATATATGTATAATACACATGAGAGAATGTGCAGTGACTTAATATCTAACATATTCAGAGATTTGAGTAGGGGTACCGAGTGATGTCTGGGGCCAGAGTTGGATATTGTTCTAATAGCAGCTTTGTGTTGGGTAATTAGAGGACGTAAGTGATTTTGGGTAGTAGAACCCCAAGCACAAATACCATAGTTATTTATTTATTTTATAAATAGTTTATAATAAAGATATATATATATATCTTATATATAAGATATAATATAAAAAAATTTTTATAATAAAGTTTATTTTAACAGAAACTTGGCTAAATAAAGACTATACCCAACTCTACAACTTAGCTGGTTATAAAGCCATTCATAACTGTAGGCCTAATAAAAAAGGTGGTGGCACAGCTATATATTACCGAGATACATTTATCTGCAACAGTGTTATTAGTGACAGAGATGACTACTGTGAATATACTTTTGCTCAGTTTACAATTAAATCCCTTAAATCCTCTTTGACTATTGGAGCCATCTATAGATTTCCTAATACTAACATAGCTTCTTTCTCAGACAACCTAAGGAATCTTATTATAAACAACAATCTCAACAAAAACCACATCATTCTGGGAGGAGACTTTAATATTGACCTGGGTCAACAAAACTGCTCTCAAGTTGACTATTTCCTTAACAGCATGAACTCCTGTATGCTAATCCCCACTATCACCAAACCTACCCGAGTCACTCAAACATCAGCCACTACCTTGGACCACATATGGACAAACATAACAGCTCCCCTTGTATCTGGTATAATCTACGACAGAACAACTGACCACTATCCTACCTTTCTCATAGCGAACATGGACATAACACCACCAAAAAGCAAGAAATTTTCATTTAGGCTACACAGTGAATCAGCTTTAGACAATCTTACAGAGGCACTTCACAATATTAACTGGGATTCTGAATTCAATAATACCCATGATATAAATTCATTAGCTAACCTCTTCCTCTCCAAAACTCTAAGCCTCTACAACCTTCATTGTCCCCTTCTTACAAAGCAAGTAACTGACAAAAGATTAAACAATCCATGGCTCACAAATGGCATTCTCAACTCAATCAACAAGAAACATGAATATGAAAAGAAAGTTAGGATTGGCCTAGTTTCAAAGGAAGTAGCTAAAAGGTACTCATCAATGCTTACCAGTATCATAAGAAAGGCAAAACTTGCATATTATGTGAATAGATTCAATGAAGCAAAAGGCAACATGAAAAACACTTGGAAAACTATCTCTAGTATCCTAGGAACTAAACAACACTCACATAACCAAATAAAACTCTACAAGGATGGGGATATACCGTCAACTGATTTAGAAATGGCAAATGAATTTAATAGTTTCTTTTCATCGGTTGGTGCTAATCTTGCCAGTAAAATCCCACAGACTCAGACACATATTAACACATATCTCTCAGGCAGCTATCCAAACTCTCTTCTCCTTTCACCAATCAGCCCGGCAGATGTTGTGTCCATCATACACTCTCTAAAAACCAAGGCAGGGAACACCAGTGAAATTCCGTCCATTGTGTACAAGAGAGCCTCCCATGCCCTTGCCCCACCCATAGCACTACTGTTCAACAAATCTATAGAGTGTCACACCTTCCCTGATATCCTCAAAAAAGCAAGAGTAACGCCAGTCCATAAAGGAGGCAATCCGGCGGACATAAACAATTATAGACCAATATCAAATCTACCCATTCTATCAAAAATATTTGAAAAAATTATTTACAAACAGCTCTATTCCTACCTCGTAAAATTCGACATACTCAGCCCCTGCCAGTTTGGCTTCCGGTCCCAAAAGAGTACCAATGATGCAATCATTAGTCTCCTTGACATTATCTACTCAGCCCTTGACAAAAATGAGTTTCCGATTGGACTCTTCATTGACCTAAGAAAAGCCTTTGATACTGTTAATCACAACTACCTCTTACTTAAACTCCAGCATTATGGAATCCGAGGCCTTGCCCTTGACTACATCCGATCCTATCTTAGTGACAGACACCAATATGTAACCATCAATGATACAACTTCTTCCACTCTACCAATTACCGTTGGAGTGCCACAGGGCAGCATCTTAGGACCTCTTCTATTTCTTATATATATAAACGATCTGCCTAATGTCTCTAATATTCTCAAACCTATATTGTTTGCTGACGATACTACCCTTATCTACTCAAACCTCAACCCACATACACTAAATAATGTTGTGAATAATGAATTAAAAAAAGTCCACTTATGGATGTCAACGAACAAACTAACATTAAACATCGAAAAGACTTACTACATCTTATTTGGAAGCAAATCATCAAATGCAATTCAGCTAC